AGAAGAACAGTTGCTGTGAGAGTATTTCTCACCTCCAGCTTTTTTGGATGAACTGCCCTCTTCACTTCGATAGAATTTGTATTGTTGCTTTTTTTGGATTCTTCAAGAACACTATTTTCACACATTTAACTATCCTCTAATTTGATCCTATAAACAATGTAAGGCATACAGGATACCATTACCTTGAACTTGCACCCTACAGGTAGAATATTAAAAGAGACCATAAGAAAAGGCTATGTTTTCAAGTATCCCACCCAAAATAAAATTCATCACTTACTCTATAATGCCAGTGCACCATTGGCTGGAAACCAGTCTGTTCTTTGATGGTCCCAAGGAGAGAAGAACTGCAGTGACCTTTTAATTTCTTAATGTTCCGACTTGTAGGCTTAGACTTAAAGAAGGACAGGGACAGGACTTACCCTTTGAGCAGTCTCAAATTTTGGAGTCGTCCCATTACCCTGGACAGCTTAGATCAAGAATCTGGTAATGTTCCCTGTCCTACCACTGCTGGATGAAACACCATGTAGAGGATAACACCATGCAGTCCTGCAACCCTGAAGAGCTGGAGGCTCTAAAAGCAACTGTACTGATGAGCCTAAGGAAGAGGCACCCTTACTTAAAAATGTGGAAAATGTCGCCACAAGAAATTATAGTCAAAGTTGGTTTTCTTAACCAGTAGGTTACCAACTGAAAAAAGGAACATTTACAGTTAAGCTCATATGCACAGAGGACTTCCAGTGCAGACACCAAAACTCTGTATCTGGCCTTAAATGAAGTTTAGGTCTATGGCAAAGGGTCAATACCTGCAAATAAGGTTTTAAGCATAGAGGCAATACATAGTGCTTACCATATCAGCAAGCTCAGTGATACAAAGTATGCCTGTATTTCCCCCCTGTTTCATAAGCTTTTATCCCCCTTTCTGTATATTAAGTTGAGCTCTGAATTAGTGCAATTTGCCACAACAGGTTCATTCACATCAAGACAAAGCTGAGGTGGCATTTTTCAAAAAAAAAAAAAAAGGGATTAGATGACTGTAACTACTACCCTCTGTACTTATGCATGTTTAGACTATGAGAAGGGTAATCATCACACTTCAGGGTATGAGGTGCAGGGGTCAGAAAGATAATCCTACTCCCATCTTTCTGGTTTTGACATTGCCCAATTGGGTAGATGCATAATAGAGGATATTAGTCTCCCCTGAAGTATTAGTTATTCATCACTGCCAGAGGCAGCTTTATAGATCTAAGATTATGTACCAGTCTAGTATAGTAACCTGTTCTTTCAAACTCTGAAAAGCTCTCTGCATGTAAAGTTTGAAGACTACAATTATACTTCAGATACAAATGATTTTCTCCTTATGTAAAGACAGCAGGCCTTTACAGATTAGAGGTAGTCTACCATACACCACAAGATTTCATGGAGCAATTTTGGAATGGAATGTTTTTATATCAGTGCCCTACAATCTCCTAAAAATAGAGAGCATTTTAAGGAGCTTTTTTTTATTGTGTGTGTGATAAATTTCCATTTAAATAAGAGACAGAAATCACAGTATCATATGTTTAAACCTAGGGTAAATACATATAGAATCAAATCAAGTATTGTTCCTACAAGCAGTGCTAGTTTTCAACCCATATGACCCCAGATACAACTAAGGGTTTCAGGCTTAGCTTCTCTATTATTTGGAAATACAAGCACAACTTATTAGACTACAGGGAAGATATACTTATTCATAGAAACACAGTGAAGTCACTTTGACTGACATAAGCAACAAAAGGACCCTGACAAATATACTAATTTATGAGCAAAACAAGAAAGTGTGTAAAAACAACTATATTTTTAAATTTTGAATAAGCAATACATTCAATCTATTTATATACCTGATTTTTCACCTACTTAATGCAAGCATCTCCTGCCACTTCGCTTATCAGCATGTGCTCCTATTTTAAAAAATGAAGGATAGGGAGCCCTCTCCATGAAGCTAGCCAGCAGATACATTCTGCAGGGCGAAGCAGGCCTTCCTCTGGCTTCACAGCCACCACTGGAAGTCGTTCTGGGCCCAGGCCAGCCCTCCTAGCAGCAGCAGTCACCTTCTTTCCCCACATCAGATGGTCTGGCTGAGACGATTATCCGATTGATCCATAAGTCAATGCAGTGGAAGTGAGCTGTGTCACCCTAAACACGTAAATAGTAGGTCTTGGTCACCCCAGCACATTGGGACTGCAACGGGTTAAAGAACATCTGCAAAATGCAGCCCTGCAGTTAGATCTAAGAGTTCAAGAGCAGTCGGGGCCAGGATGGGGTGCAACCAGGAGTTAATGTACCACATGGGTAGACTTCAAAAATAACATTTATGACTGCTAGCAAAGTCCTAGCCCAACAATAGATTGACTTTAGATAACCTATTGATCACTAAACAATGCTGCTACTGTACCATGCTTTTTATTTCAACATTTCAAATATGCATTTTGTTCTCATCACACTTTTCAGAGATGGGATTTGTTATCAAACCCATTTTATGGATGGGGAGAAAACAGAGAAAAGAAAATGAAGTTCATAATTCTTTTAAATACTCTGACAAGTTTGTTTAAAGCTGGACTGCCTGACACTGAAAATAAGCATTTCTAGACATGCTATGGGATTTACAGAATCTTTCAGGCTTAAATCTTCACCTCAGACTTTCCCAGCATCCCCACCGGATTTACTGTCATCTTTAACGGGAGTGAATTCTACCTTCCATATGGGTAGAACACAGTTACAGTTAGACTGAAACACTGGAAGGCTCAGCATGTTTGAATTCTTGGGGTGAAAACCCTTAATAATGTTATCAATCAGTTTATATGCAGTGCTTTCAGCATTCACAGTTCTTTACAAACTGACCAAATTTCACAGCAATCCTCTGAGATATAGAAGTCATTACTATTCCTACTAACAAGACAGGAAACGGAAGCCTTCATTTTGGCATTCTGAATTGAGACTAACCAGCATAGTGATCAGAACTCTCCTGAAAGCACATACAGTGCCTAGAAGATGAAGTCTCTTATCTGGACAAAAAGATTTTCATTACAATTAATAGGAAAAAAATGCCAACAACATATGCATCATAAAACACAACTCAGCTTTTGAGGAGAGCTACAATCTGAAGTCCCATCTAAAGTTGCACGGTGTGGCACTATCGTATGTACTTTTCACCAGTTCTGAACGGTCAGACTTGCACCTAATCCAGAAGTCCTTTGAACCACACATAGGAATAACTGTCACATTCTTTTCCTTTGAATCAACAAAATTCAGCTACTTCATATGAATGAAGCAAAGAAAATATTGAGGAATTTAGAGTTAAAAAAAGGGGGGGAGGATTTTCCAATGTGTCAGAATTTGTGCAGGAGGATTTGTTTTAAGGTAGAGGAACCTCATTCTAAAGAGCCCCTCAAACTGGTAAGGCAGATAGGGAGGTGTTTTTGTGTGTAACTTGGGGCCTGTTGTGGCTGAGAAATCAGAGAAAACCCCGGTAAACTCTTCAGCCTTTAAGCACCTTGCTCTACCTGAGAGACATCAGGCATCCCTTAGTGTGCAAGATGTCTTCATTCTCTTTTCTTCAGCTCTCCTATGGAGTTTCTTGCCCAGCATCTGCACTGGCAGTGTTCTGCAGGGAAGGGCAAGATGCATTATACTGCAGCACACACATCAGCCTCAATAACTTTCATTGCATGACCTAAATGTGCAACTCTTGAAGTCAGACAGGGCTCTCTTACATAACCGATGCAACTTATATTGACAACATCAACAATGTAAAAAGAGACATTCCCTATGTCCTCTCCCACAGCTGAAGCTTGGGCAAATGGAAAATAAGGCAAGAGCAAGCTAACAATTCGCAAGAGAAAGTTGTCTCTTCTACAAGATTCCCAAGAGTGCAGGAAAAGGAGCACGTTCTTGTCATCCAGTTTTCTTCCCCTGCAGCACCTAGTACAGATTGCACTTGCAACTGTACACCTCATGCCTCTCCAACAAACAGACCGCATCTACCCTCACCTTGCTTATGCTCTCCCTCTTTTCCTTCTCCCAGATAAAGCATCCAGCGCCAGCCAGGGGATGGAATTCATCAGAAGTGTTTCAAGGATCAGCACAGTGGATCCATCCTGTAGAAACTGCTTACAGGATTTACCAGACTCTCGACAGTTAACATCACACAGCTAGCATGCCAGAGGTCAAGCGCTGGAGATACAGCCCTGATAAAACCAGGCTAATGCAAAAGGCCCTAAGATTATCCCCTCTGGGAAGAATGTCATTGAGAAGATGGAGCTGGCTGTGAACAGAGTGCTGCAATTATCACGCTGGGAAATGCTAATTGACTTAAAGCAAGTAATGCATGATGAGAAGAGGGAATGACCCTCAGCAGCAACGTTGGTAGCTAAGCTAATTGTGGATTGACTGGAAGAGCAAAAGTATTACCATGCAAAGACTCATGAATCACTAGGCCTTTCCAGCTCTAAAGTACAGGCCAACTCCCTCCTTCCATATTATAAAGCACACATCTACAATTATCTCTGGAATTCACCTGCAGAGCTATATTGCTAGTACATGATCTGATGATACTCAACTAGCACTGGCTATGCAAAACAAACACACCAAAACTAGGACATTAGTTTTCAGCTTTGAATTCTCTTTCTCCTTGGCATTAGCTATGTCAGACAAACTCACCAAAACTGGGACTTTTATTAGCACTGAATTCTCATTCCCCTAGTTTGCATATCTGTTTTCAAATGTGAACAAGGGCTTTCTTTATTCTTTGTCACCGCAAACCTTTTAACGTTTTGTCCTTAAAAGCTGGGAGAGGCAAAAGGGGGTTCCACAATTAGATGAGAAGCTCCACTCATAGCTATGGAGGAAGCTTGAAAACCTTAACTTTGAAGGTTCAAAAACAATATGAGAAACAGCAACCTCAGCATTTATTGTTATTTTGAAGAAAAACATGTTTATTGAGGGAGAGAAACTTGACTCATTACCTGAGCACCCGGGATTAGCAGGACTGTATTTATGGAAGAGGCCGCAGTACATGACTTTCCGTAATTGCTCTGATCTCTTCATCTGTGGTTCCAGGTTCCACACGTGTTACCCACTGACAGACGGGAAAGCATACGAACGTATTTTCCTAAGATTGCCCTTAGGAAGCAACCAGCCGAGTCCTGCAAACCCGGTCTGTTCACGTGAACTGTACACACTCATCAGCAACCCCGGGTTTGTTTTTACTACCCAGATTACCAGAGCACCCATAGGCCTTCAACGGCACCCAGCCCTCAGCACGCTAGATTACCGTACAGGCACGGAGACGTACTCTTCTGAAGAGTTTACGGCCTCGCTCAACCCCAGCGTATTCAAACGTACAAACTAAGCACGAGAAGCAGGTGCTCGCGCTCAGCAGCAACGCCAAGCGAACAGTGACGCTTCCCCAACCTGCCAGCGTGATCAGAAAACCTGTTTCTGTAATTTCACAGCCGTTATTCCTTTCTTGCGTGTGCTTTGTTATGGACGTACGTTAACGTTTTGTTATTTTCTATGTCGAAGCCTAAGGCGCTAATTTTTCAAAAAAACACTGAAAGTCCGCTAACATCTCCACCAGGATGAAGAGCAAATTTTTTTTTTTTTTTTT